TCATGATATCTCTTCCTTGTTTTCTCATGATATCTCTTCCATGTTTTCTCATGATGTCTCTTCCTTGTTTTCTCATGATATCTCTTCCATGTTTTCTCATGATATCTCTTCCATGTTTTCTCATGATATCTCTTCCTTGTTTTCTCATGATATCTCTTCCATGTTTTCTACTGATGTCTCTTCCTTGTTTTCTCATGATATCTCTTCCATGTTTTCTACTGATGTCTCTTCCTTGTTTTCTCATGATACCTCTTCCATGTTTTCTCAAGAAGTCTCTTCCTTGTTTTTTCATGATATCTCTTCCTTGTTTTCTCATGATATCTCTTCCATGTTTTCTCATGATGTCTCTTCCTTGTTTTCTCATGATATCTCTTCCATGTTTTCTCATGATATCTCTTCCATGTTTTCTCATGATGTCTCTTCCTTGTTTTCTCATGATATCTCTTCCATGTTTTCTCATGATACCTCTTCCATGTTTTCTCAAGAAGTCTCTTCCTTGTTTTTTCATGATACCTCTTCCTTGTTTTCTCATAATATCTCTTCCATGTTTTCTCATGATGTCTCTTCCTTGTTTTCTCATGATATCTCTTCCATGTTTTCTACTGATGTCTCTTCCTTGTTTTCTCATGATACCTCTTCCATGTTTTCTCATGATGTCTGTTCCATGTTTTCGCGAGAAGTATCGTTCATGTTTTCTCATGATGTCTCTTCCATGTTTTGACATGATACCTCTTCCTTGTTTTCTCATGATGTCTCTTCCATGTTTTCTCATGATGTCTCTTCCATGTTTTTTCATGATGCCTCTTCCATGTTTTCTCATGATGTCCCTCCCGTGTTTTCACGTCCATGTATTGTCCCAATGGTTGGCATAGATTTTGTGGGTTTGGATCCGGTCAAGATTTTTCTTTCTTTATTCATGGCTATTTCATGTTGGACAGAGAAGGGGCGCTGAACTTGTGAAAAATAGACCAAGTCATATTTGCACCATTCCGTGTTCACGGTGGTGTCTTTTTCTATTTGATTGTCAAAAGGCTTGCGCCTTCACAACATATTTGTAACAATCGCTGCGAGATCTTTAAATCGTGTTCTATTTGCGTGTTACTTAGTTTGTATCAACGCCTACAGCACACGACATTTTAGGACAGATGGACGCTTGATGTTTTAATTAATAATACATTCAAACAAGTATTTATAAAATAAACTTTCACTGTTTCGTATCAAATTCGAATGTTACTTACAGTTCATAGTGTTTGACATTTGATACCGAGCTTAGAACCAACAAAAAAGTTCATTTAAATAGCGTCTCTCGCACAGCACAATGGCGCTGAATGTACACTTGGGTTGTTTTAATGAAGCTAGTATTGTTCCGTTTCGTTGTATCAATGTCGGCATGGTTTTTAAAAGTCCGAAACAAGGATGACTCCAGTCTGAACGCGCTCACATCCTGCAGCCCTACAGCAGTCCTTGTATATAAACAAAACCCAGAACTGGGCCCCACCCCCTGCAACCACGTACAACAAGCCCTACATGTGCCGCATTCAACAAGCCCTACATGTGCCGTTTCTAATTTTTAAAAAAAAATGATGCTTCTGCTATTTTAAACAAAGCCTACAGCTTCCGGGTTTAACAAATCCTACAGCTTCCGAGTTTAACAAAGCCTACAGCATCCGGGTTTAACAAAGCCTACAGTTTCCGGGTTTAACAAAGCCTACAGTTTCCGGGTGCAATGAGCTTTCTGAAGAAATAAAGCGTTGTATTTCTGAACTTGGTGTTACAGCAATAGAAGATGAAGATGTTGACGGACGAGTTGATGTACGCACAGATGGCGCTGGTGGATGTGATCAAAGAGAAGAGATTGCTGTACATTTCCCCTGCACTAAACGCAGGAATCAGCCGCCTGACCAGGGAGTAGACCATAAAGGGTAGGGCGAGGACGAGGAAGAGAGCCGATATGAGTGCAACTGATTTGATGATTTGAATGTCTTTCGTGCTTTCTCTTTGATATCTGGAGGCCTTTAGCTTTCTTGTGCCCGCCTCTCGTCCATCTACTGTTGGTCTCGGTGAAGACTCATTCAAATCATTGAACGCCTTCCTGGATATAATACCATGTAGAGCTCGGGGGGTTGAAAAGCTTTGAGAACCACCAACTTGATCTTGGCTCACCAAATATCCGCTGAGGGCATCACTCGGAAAGACATGGCCTCGCGGGGCAGAGTCCTTCACAGCGGCAGTTCTTATTTGACCACTCGCCGCCTGGCGAAATCTCGAAGCTGACCGGAGCTTGGCGGTGAGCAGAGTGAACGAGACAAATATTATAGCCATCGTGAGCCAAGAGATCACATTTCTGTTGACAATGTCGTTGAAAGCCACAACCGCGTTTCGGTTGGCCGCGGGGACCACAGTGAATTTTGTCGCGTTTGTCCTGGCATCGCGGTAGCTGACTACGTACTGTGTGACCAGCAAGGGGACGTGCAGGCAGCACGATGCCGTGAAGATGGCCGCACACGCCGACACGGTTCTCCTCGCGGTGAACACATTTTTAAACCTGAACGGAATGGCGACACAGCAGCACCGCACCACGGCGATGTACGCCGTCGTCATGAGCGACGCGTAGTAAAAAATGTTGGAGCACCAGTAGGAGTAAGAGTTGACGCTGTACGGGTCGAGCGCCAGCCGCCTGGTGAAGTCTGGGAAGCCCAGCTGCACGATGAAGCAGCCGGCGCCCACGGCCGACACGAGCAGGTAGCCCAGGTCGAACAGGCTCAGCGCGAAGAAGGAAATGCTGACGCTGTCCCTGAGGCCATTGGCGTGGAAGACCTTGGCGCTGACGCCACAGCTGACGATGCCGAATACAATGATGACGGGTCTCACAAAGAAGTAGGCTACCGTGTTGAAAGCGTTGAGAACCCCCGTACTAACCACCGGGTCCATGGTGAAGTGCTGAAAGAATGTTGTCTTTGACTCCCCGGGACAGTTATAGACACCGGGGGACACTGAATGACTTGGGAAATTGCTCCGCCGAAAATGATCCACTCCGTTTTATGCCACGCCTGGCTGATTATCTCGGACTGTTCGTTGTCCAAAATAATCCTATTATTGCTATGGTCTTTATTTGGAAACCAACACAAATCTGATTTTCATGGTGATTACAACTGTGGAGGGAAGAAAAAAAATTCTTTAAGGCAAGTTTTAATTCTACTCGTAAACACTTTGTTGCTCGGAGGTTAAGAGATTGGACTGGTTAAGTGTTGAATGATTGAACGAGTTAAGTGTTGAATGATTGAACAAGTTAAGTGTTGAATGATGATTGACTTCCCAAAAGGTCTATACCTCGTTTCAAGTTGATCAAAGATCAAATAATGCTATGAAAATGCTGTAACTTGCTACGATTTTAACGGCGTTACAAAACTTTCCGAGGCAGTCCTAGATTTAATTTTTTTAAAATAATTTTTATTTAATGAAATAAACTTTATGGAAATGTTTTTACAAGTTAATAAAATTGGATTAAAATTTTTTGATCATACAATTTATTGTACTATAATGTATAAATATTTTGTTTCCTCCAACTTCTACGTATTGAAGTTGTTTTCCTTGATAAAAGGAAATTATTATCGAAACAATTCTTTTGTGATTTAAAAAGATGACAAGTGCGTCACTTTGAAATACCACTTAATTACGATTCGACTTTGAAGCACGACCATTTGATCAGCAAAAATTAATTTTTAATTTGTTCTTTTCAGTCACGAATGAAAAATATATAAATGAAATAAATGTCTTCAGACTTCAAAAACAATGATCGTTTTTTTTTTAATGATAAGTTGAAATAAAATTATTTATTTTGTCTTTGCACGAAACAAAATGTCCCAAAATCCATTGTCGAATCGTAAACAATGATCAATCAATGTCTATTATTTTCAAATCAAAGAGAAGGAAAATGCGTCTTGATGACTTTGTTGGGCAGCCTCCTGTTTTCTTTCATCTCCAACACCCAGTTCTTGTTTTCTCGCCGTGAACCACCGAGGACGTATTTGTCTCGGTGCGGTTATAACACAAAGCTGACTCGTCGCCTAGGCGAGGTCTTGGATGTAGACCCATGAACTAACATGTCTGGGCAATAAATCGGCTGGAAGGCTCACGCCACTCAGGTGGAAACACTTTTGAGTCGCGGCGGTCTTCCTCCCTTTAAGGGAGATGGAAGTACACTAGATACTCAACTGGGGTAATAGTGACGTCCTGGTCAGAAGGACCTCTTTAGTAGTCGACTTTCTTGTTAATCGTGGACTTTTGATGCGTTTTTTGGTTTGGTTTCATCGTCCTATTCAACATTTGGAGGTAAAGTTGTGCTGTGTTTAACTAGAAATCTATTCTTTAGACTTAGAGTACTGTACTCTCGGAACCGAAAGCTTCTTGAAATGTAACGATAGGACTTAGTGCTAGAGGTTATAGACTGAAAACGAATACAACACGTGAGTTTATCACGCGAACCGAGCAAATGGTATATTGTTCGCTTATAGATAGTTCTGTAAAGAATACAAATGTTAAACTTTAGACTCTATCGCATTTTTAATGCGAGACAAAATTATAGAAATAATTTTTTGAAAATAATCTACTTTAAAAAAAAAAAAATCTTCTGACTGAAATGTTATTGTTATTGTATGCGAAGTCGGGAACCTCAAGATGGAGTAGCCCACCAATTTTATGACAAGATTTTCAAATACGTTTTTATAGACAAGCTGCTATATATAGATACATATTTAAAATAAGATAACAAACCTCTTTTTATGTCCGTACTTTCTATAAAAAGTAATTTTATGTCCGTACTTTCTATAAAAAGTAATTTTATGTCCGTACTTTCTCTAAAAAGAATTTTATGTCCGTACTTTCTATAAAAAGTAATTTTATGTCCGCACTTTCTATAAAAAGTAATTTTATGTCCGTACTTTCTCTAAAAAGAATTTTATGTCCGTACTTTCTATAAAAAGTAATTTTATGTCCGTACTTTCTATAAAAAGTAATTTTATGTCCGTACTTTCTCTAAAAAGAATTTTATGTCCGTACTTTCTATAAAAAGTAATTTTATGTCCGTACTTTCTATAAAAAGTAATTTTATGTCCGTACTTTATCTAAAAATAATTTTATGTCCGTACTTTCTCTAAAAAGAATTTTATGTCCGTACTTTCTATAAAAAGTAATTTTATGTCCATACTTTCTATAAAAAGTAATTTTATGTCCGTACTTTCTATAAAAAGTAATTTTATGTCCTACTTTCTATAAAAAGTAATTTTATGTCCGTACTTTCTCTAAAAAGAATTTTATGTCCGTACTTTCTAAAAAAAAGTAATTTTATGTCCGTACTTTCTCTAAAAAGAATTTTATGTCCGTACTTTCTATAAATAGTAATTTTATGTCCGCACTTTCTATAAAAAGTAATTTTATGTCCGCACTTTCTATAAAAAGAATTTTATGTCCGTACTTTCTATAAAAAGTAATTTTATGTCCGTACTTTCTCTAAAAAGTAATTTTATGTCCGTACTTTCTATAAAAAGTAATTTTTTGTCCGTACTTTCTATAAAAAGTAATTTTATGTCCGTACTTTCTATAAAAAGAATTTTATGTCCGTACTTTCTATAAAAAGTAATTTTATGACCGTACTTTCTCTAAAAATTAATTTTATGTCCGTACTTTCTCTAAAAAGTAATTTTATGTCCGTACTTTCTATAAAAAGTAATTTTATGTCCGCACTATCTATAAAAAGTAATTTTATGTCCGTACTTTCTATAAAAAGTAATTTTATGTCCGCACTTTCTATAAAAAGTAATTTTATGTCCGCACTTTCTATAAAAAGTAATTTTATGTCCGTACTTTCTCTAAAAAGAATTTTATGTCCGTACTTTCTATAAAAAGTAATTTTATGTCCGCACTTTCTATAAAAAGTAATTTTATGTCCCTACTTTCTATAAAAAGTAATTTTATGTCCGCACTTTCTATAAAAAGTAATTTTATGTCCGTACTTTCTATAAAAAGTAATTTTATGTCCGCACTTTCTATAAAAAGTAATTTTGTGTCCGCACTTTCTATAAAAAGTAATTTTATGTCCGTACTTTCTATAAAAAGTAATTTTATGTCCGTACTTTCTATAAAAAGTAATTTTATGTCCGCACTTTCTATAAAAAGTAATTTTATGTCCGTACTTTCTATAAAAGTAATTTTATGTCCGCACTTTCTATAAAAAGTAATTTTATGTCCGTACTTTCTATAAAAAAATAATTTTATGTCCGTACTTTCTATAAAAAGTAATTTTATGTCCGTACTTTCTATAAAAAGTAATTTTATGTCCGTACTTTCTATAAAAAGTAATTTTATGTCCGTACTTTCTATAAAAAGTAATTTTATTTCCGTACTTTCTCTAAAAAGAAAACTTCATCAGCCTGTTGTATGAAGACTCGAACCAACGCCCTTCACAAATTAAATAAAACAAACGAATTTCAGTTCCAAAACTCTACTTTGAATGCCTGAATTTAAGATATTTTAAATTGAAAAAAAAAAAAAGAAACATATTTATTTTCCAATTTAAATTCAGGAATTAAAATTCCAGTGGACTTTTCCGTATTAAGATATAAAGGAGCCATTGCTAGGCCAACAACAGTGCCTAGATTGATACATGTCATGTGACAAATAAACTATAATAGAAGGCCCTGTGACAGTTGTCCGTCTTGGCGCCTTCTATCCAAGTCTACACCCCTGAACCTCACCTCTTAAATGAATGTGATGGTCGACTTGATTCAGCAAAAGGCAAGCGGTGAGCAGTCCTATCAATAGAAGCAGCACGATACTCTTCACGGGGACTCCTCGCTGCTCACACATACTTGTGTTTTCACTTGAACGATTTCGGCAAGCTCCAGCCTGTCATTGAATCACTAACCAAACATCTTTCTCTTGTCATCACTGGCTTGTAAATGTCTCCTAGACTTTCTCTTCAACCACTGACTACTGAATATCTCCCAGACTTTCTCTTGAAACACTGACTTATGAATATCTCCCAGACTTTCTCTGGAACCACTTACTATTCTCTGGAACCACTTACTACTGAATATCTCCCAGACTTTCTCTTGAAACACTGACTACTGAATATCTCCCAGAATTTTCTTTTGAACCACTGACTACTGAAATCTCCCAGACTTTCTCTTGAAACACTGACTACTGAATATCTCCCAGAATTTTCTTTTGAACCACTGACTACTGAAATCTCCCAGAATTTTCTTTTGAACCACTGACTACTGAATATCTCACAGACTTTCTCTTGAAACACTGACTACTGAAATCTCCCAGACTTTCTCTTGAAACACTGACTACTGAATATCTCCCAGAATTTTCTTTTGAACCACTGACTACTGAATATCTCCCAGAATTTTCTTTTGAACCACTGACTACTGAATATCTCACAGACTTTCTCTTGAAACACTGACTACTGAATATCTCACAGACTTTCTCTTGAAACACTGACTACTGAATATCTCACAGACTTTCTCTTGAAACACTGACTACTGAATATCTCACAGACTTTCTCTTGAAACACTGACTACTGAATATCTCACAGACTTTCTCTTGAAACACTGACTACTGAATATCTCACAGACTTTCTCTTGAAACACTGACTACTGAATATCTCACAGACTTTCTCTTGAAACACTGACTACTGAATATCTCACAGACTTTCTCTTGAACCACTGACTACTGAATATCTCACAGACTTTCTCTTGAAACACTGACTACTGAATATCTCACAGACTTTCTCTTGAAACACTGACTACTGAATATCTCACAGACTT